CTATTCAAAACTCCTCAAAAACTTGAAATAAAAAATTGACTATCCCTAAAAAAAATAAAAAACCGTGAAACCCTTAGAGGAAAAAACAATCGGCCCGAGCTTAGCCAAGGCTTGGCGCAATGCTCATTAACTCTGGGGCAAGCTTGAAATCCAAGCTTGGCCCAAGTCCGTCTAAGCATACAAATGATAACTTCCTGCCAAGACTGAATATCAGTACTGTGTCAAGACTGAAAATAAGTATTGCGCCAAGACTGAAAATAAGTATTGCGCCAAGACTGAAAATAAGTATTGTGCCAAGACTGAATTTTAGTATTGGGTCAATACCGATTTTCGAGTCTGACCCATGCCTGGTTACCAGGACTGGGCCACAGTTACTATTTAAGTCTGGCCCATGCCATTTGATAAAAAGTGATAAAAAGAAATTTTTTCTTTGTAATTTTTTTTTATTTTAATTTTTATGCAAGGCTAACGAATGTTTAGTCCTTTTGACTCTTTATTTAGACCTAATTTTTATTAATTATGAAAATAAAGTGAAAATTGCATTTGCCCTAACCGAGATTCGAACCCGAGCCGCGCGCTTACTAGACCGATAACTAACCCCTACGCCGTACGACCGATAAGTTGATCTACATCTCATTATTCATATAAGCTACACGGAGAGAAATTTATAGGAATCTTTCCAACAATTATGGGAATGGATCCTATAATAAAATTATCATTATAGGCATTAATCCTATACTCATTATGGGAACCATACCCATAATTTATTGGAAACGTTCCTATACAATAATGGAATAGCTTCAATATATTATGGGAATGGTTCCTATAATATTATAGGAATGGTTCCTATAATACTATGGGAATGACGCACATAATAATAGAAAAAAGTTTATTTTCTTAATAATGAAGCAATCACTTCAAAAATATAAAGTAATTATTGTGTTTTGTTTTGCTAATAACATTTTTTTTTGTAAATAAAAATTGACCTTTCACTAGAGTGAAAAAATTTCTTTCTCATAATTTTTATTCACGTGTGTACTCAATCTTGAATTATTTATTCCAGCTTAGTTATTATTGTGTTAAATAATATTGAAAAATATTATAGCAATTTTAAAGTTTCTCTAATAAAAAGAATATTTTCTCACTATACAATTGTAGGAGCAAAATAGATAAGGAAATTCATTGTTTATTTTCATAATTTCATTTTATTTTTAAAGCAAATTATTTATTTACAATACATACGTTGAGCCGCAAAAACATTTGAAAATTTGGAATTTCAAAACAATTGGAAATTTTATTTTAGTTAAGAAATTTTTTTTTTTTCTAGTAGAAATTTACATAGACATTGGCTGGGTCTTGGTCCAAGAGTAATAAACCAAGACTTGTCACTTGAATATTGGCTGGGTCTTGGTTCAAGACTGGCAAACCAAGGCTCGTTACATAGACATTGGCTGGGTCTTGGTCCAAGAGTAATAAACCAAGACTTGTCACTTGAATATTGGCTGGGTCTTGGTTCAAGACTGGCAAACCAAGGCTCGTTACATAGACATTGGCTGGGTCTTGGTCCAAGAGTAATAAACCAAGACTTGTCACTTGAATATTGGCTGGGTCTTGGTTCAAGACTGGCAAACCAAGGCTCGTTACATAGACATTGGCTGGGTCTTGGTCCAAGAGTAATAAACCAAGACTTGTCACTTGAATATTGGCTGGGTCTTGGTTCAAGACTGGCAAACCAAGGCTCGTTACATAGACATTGGCTGGGTCTTGGTCCAAGAGTAATAAACCAAGACTTGTCACTTGAATATTGGCTGGGTCTTGGTTCAAGACTGGCAAACCAAGGCTCGTTACATAGACATTGGCTGGGTCTTGGTCCAAGAGTAATAAACCAAGACTTGTCACTTGAATATTGGCTGGGTCTTGGTTCAAGACTGGCAAACCAAGGCTCGTTACATAGACATTGGCTGGGTCTTGGTCCAAGAGTAATAAACCAAGACTTGTCACTTGAATATTGGCTGGGTCTTGGTTCAAGACTGGCAAACCAAGGCTCGTTACATAGACATTGGCTGGGTCTTGGTCCAAGAGTAATAAACCAAGACTTGTCACTTGAATATTGGCTGGGTCTTGGTTCAAGACTGGCAAACCAAGGCTCGTTACATAGACATTGGCTGGGTCTTGGTCCAAGAGTAATAAACCAAGACTTGTCACTTGAATATTGGCTGGGTCTTGGTTCAAGACTGGCAAACCAAGGCTCGTTACATAGACATTGGCTGGGTCTTGGTCCAAGAGTAATAAACCAAGACTTGTCACTTGAATATTGGCTGGGTCTTGGTTCAAGACTGGCAAACCAAGGCTCGTTACATAGACATTGGCTGGGTCTTGGTCCAAGAGTAATAAACCAAGACTTGTCACTTGAATATTGGCTGGGTCTTGGTTCAAGACTGGCAAACCAAGGCTCGTTACATAGACATTGGCTGGGTCTTGGTCCAAGAGTAATAAACCAAGACTTGTCACTTGAATATTGGCTGGGTCTTGGTTCAAGACTGGCAAACCAAGGCTCGTTACATAGACATTGGCTGGGTCTTGGTCCAAGAGTAATAAACCAAGACTTGTCACTTGAATATTGGCTGGGTCTTGGTTCAAGACTGGCAAACCAAGGCTCGTTACATAGACATTGGCTGGGTCTTGGTCCAAGAGTAATAAACCAAGACTTGTCACTTGAATATTGGCTGGGTCTTGGTTCAAGACTGGCAAACCAAGGCTCGTTACATAGACATTGGCTGGGTCTTGGTCCAAGAGTAATAAACCAAGACTTGTCACTTGAATATTGGCTGGGTCTTGGTTCAAGACTGGCAAACCAAGGCTCGTTACATAGACATTGGCTGGGTCTTGGTCCAAGAGTAATAAACCAAGACTTGTCACTTGAATATTGGCTGGGTCTTGGTTCAAGACTGGCAAACCAAGGCTCGTTACATAGACATTGGCTGGGTCTTGGTCCAAGAGTAGTAAACCAAGACTTGTCACTTGAATATTGGCTGGGTCTTGGCTCAAGACTGGCAAACCATGGCTTGTTAGTTAAATATTGGCTGGATCTTGGTTCGAGACTGGCAAACCAAGGCTTGTTAGTTGAATATTGGCTGGGTCTTGGTTCAAGACTGGCAAACCAAGGCTCGCTACATAGACATTGGCTGGGTCTTGGTCCAAGAGTAGTAAACCAAGACTTGTCACTTGAATATTGGTTGGGTCTTGGTTCAAGACTGGCAAACCAAGGCTCGCTACATAGACATTGGCTGGGTCTTGGTCCAAGAGTAGTAAACCAAGACTTGTCACTTGAATATTGGTTGGGTCTTGGTTCAAGACTGGCAAACCAAGGCTCGTTACATAGACATTGGCTGGGTCTTGGTCCAAGAGTAGTAAACCAAGACTTGTCACTTGAATATTGGTTGGGTCTTGGTTCAAGACTGGCAAACCAAGGCTCGTTACATAGACATTGGCTGGGTCTTGGTCCAAGAGTAGTAAACCAAGACTTGTCACTTGAATATTGGTTGGGTCTTGGTTCAAGACTGGCAAACCAAGGCTCGTTACATAAACATTGGCTGGGTCTTGGTCCAAGAGTAGTAAACCAAGACTTGTCACTTGAATATTGGCTGGGTCTTGGCTCAAGACTGCGGCAAACCAAGGCTTGTCAGTTGAATATTGGCTTGGTCTTGGTTGAAGACTGGCAAACCAAGACTTGTTACATAGACATTGGCTAGATCTTGGTACAAGAGTAGTTTAACAAGACTTGTCAATTAAATATATATTGGCTGGGTCTTGGTTTAAGACTGGCAAACCAAGGCTTGTCAGTTGAATATTGGCTGGGTCTTGATCCAAGACTGGCAAACCAAGGCTTGTCAGTTGAATATTGGCTGGGTCTTGGTCCAAGACTGGCAAACCAAGACTTGTCAGCTGAGTAGTGGTCCAGTCGTGGGCCAGTATTGTTCGGCCGAGTCTGGGCAACCCAGTATTGTGCCAAGCCAGGCCCCGTTGTATATAATTTTTTTCCTACAAGGGAAAGGCACAAATTCTTATCAAGACCTTCCTAATGATACCAAATTTAACTATAAAAATTCCTTTCAAAATAACAATATACTTGTCACTAAATTTTCCTTACTCTCTCAATTATTTAAATTATAAACGACTATCGCTGAAAAAATATCAAAATCAATTTACAATAAAGATATACTCAATAAATAAATTTTTCTTAGTCTCTTAATTATATAAATTAATTTTTGACAGATGACCACATTCACATGTATAAAACAAAACAAATAAATAAACAAATTTTGTATATCGCGAAATTCGAATCTATTTGGAACTACTCCGAAAACTTATCACAATAAATTAACTATTGCTGAAAAGCATATGAAACATTGTTAAAGGCACAAATTCAGGACATGACCTTTTGAATGATAATAAATTTAAGTTTAAAAAATAATTTTATTATATATTACTACGTCGGAGACGAAATTTTTTTTATTCTTATAACTATATAGATGGCAATTAATTAATTGTTATTAATTATTGATATTTTTTATGATAATATAAGCGATAGCGGGTTGATATTTTGAATTTTCTATTTTTTATTCATTCTTAGAGTTTCCTAAAAAAAAAACAAATAATTAAGTTAAGTATTAAATAAATAATTAAATAAAAAATAAATAATTATATCATTAAAACAGCTAGAGGTCCTTGTCAAAATTCGAAAATTCTCAAGAAAAAATTGTTGATTCATGGCTCGTTTTTAAGCTAAAATATTTATTAGCTTCAAGCCACTTACATGGAAGAACGTATCTATTACAGTGACATATAAATCAGTGGTATTGCAAACTAAGACATTACAAGTTGTCATGTTATCAAGTGTTCAACAATACAAGAAATAGTAAAAAATGGAGTTCTCTAAAGTTTTAGTGTATTTGATCTTGAATGTATTTATTATAATTTTTGTGACGGCTGAAGAAAGTATGATTAGTCTACCAGACTCATCCCAAAAGAAAGATTGGGTATTTTTAAATTCATTATCTTGGGTAGGCACCTCCGTTCCAGATCACTTGCTGAAGATGATATTGAAAGCCGCGCTTCCGATAATAGCCAAGAATTATTTCACAAAACAACCGGTTTTGGAAGCTGTTTTATACAGTAGTGTTGAGGAATCCTTTAATGCGTCTGCTGATTATTCATATTTCTTCGTCAAAGCAGTCATAAGAGAGACCAATTGTCCTGCTACCAAAAATATAGATCGCGATGCTTATAAGGAGTGTTTCGAGCAAAATATGGAAGGATCATTAAAATTATGCGCGATTCATATGTATTATAAACCTGCAACCGAAGAATTTAGAAAAAATATCATAAAATGCTGGAAAATGAATAATCCTTCCCTGAAAGACGATTATTATACTGACAAAGCTCTGGAAGCTGTAGAACCAATAATAAACCGACAAATCATTAATGAACATCATTATTACGCATCTTTTCATATGGAAAGCATTGATAGAATTTATCATCTTGATTTAAAGACCCCAGAGATTTGGTATGACCAAATTTTCTATCTAAAATTTCAAATTCAACAGTGCTTAGAGCCCCTTGATAACAAATGTATTTCACCCGACGATGAAAGCAATGTATTAACCTGTTCTGGTGAAATAGATGTGTCCTCAAAACAACCGGATCTTTATGAAGAATATATGTTTGATTGTAAATAAATTATGTAGTAATTAATATATAAAACACTTCCAGAATCGAAAATGTTTTCAATTTATTTCATGTCAAAATTATTCGCTTGCTTATTGTTATAAATTGTTAATCTTTGGAAAATAAAGATAACTATGCACTTAAATTGTATTTCTTCCTTGAAATATTTATCAGACAATAAATATTTATCAAAAAACCTATAATTTAACAATAATTCATCTAGTATTTACTTACTGTGGAAAACATCAGGTGTTTGACGTGCACTGCGAAAATAAAAAAAATTTTAATACGAGTACATCACGACGCTAGAGCTTATGTTATGATAAAAAATGAATAAAAAATATTGATCATTATTTATTATCAACAATAAATAGATGCGTAGTTCGACATTGAGTGATGTCTGTTAGTTTTACAATAATTATTATTTATTATTATAAATTTGTACAATTATGAAAAATATATTAAATAAGTTTTTTATATATAATAAAAAGAATAGAAATTTAGTATCCTCTAAAAGAAAAATTCAATTTTGGTTGATTTTGGAAATTTTAAAAATATTATGTGCATCCACTGAAGATTTTTTAATTGCGCTGATTTTTGGGAGGACTCTAAAAACATGATGAACCATCATATTCACATATATATCTTATAAGAGACCCGGAAAAAAATAGTCAGTTTCTTTGCAACACTCTATTAGGTATCATTTGGACTTTTTTGTACACGGAGAGAAAAATGTGGAAATCATTCCTATAATTTTAATGAAATATTTTCCTATACCATTTTAGGAGAGATTACTTAAATTATGGGAATTATACCCATAATTTTTGGGAAACGTTACTATAATTATGGGAATGGTTCCTATAATTATAGGAACGATACCTATAATTATAACTGTAATAACGGCATTATTCCCATAATATATAGGAATGGTTCCCATAATATATAGGATTAGTTTCCATAATATTATAGGAATAGTTTCCATAATATTATAGGAACCATTCCTATAATATTATGGGAACCATTTCCATAATATTATAGGAATGATGCCAATAATATTGGAGTAATTTTTTTTCACACAACTGTGGTATTTAATTAATTACTTTTCACTAGATTTATTTTTTTTTGATTAAGTGATTCTTTTTTTATAATATATAAATTAATAAAAAAAGTTATCAGTAATAATATTTATTATTATTATCATTATGAAATTAATCAGTTGCAGCAGTTGATATTTTTTAATCTTAAATGGTATACATGCTTGTAAATTAAAATAAAAAAGTTAGTTAAAAAAAAAAATTAATTAAAAAAAAAGCTGGAATAAATAATTCAAGATTAAGTACACACGTGAATAAAAATGATGAAAAAGAAATTTTTTCACTCTAGTGAAAGATCAATTTTTATTTACAAAAAAAAATTTATTAGCAAAAAAATACATAATAATTACTTTATATTTTTTAAGTGATTGCTTCATTATTAAGAAAATAAACTTTTTTTTATTATTATGTGCGTCATTCCCATAATATTATAGGAACCATTCCTATAATATTATAGGAATCATTCCTATAATATTATAGGAACCATTCCCATAATATTATAGGAACCATTCCCATAATATATTGAAGCTATTCCATTATTGTATAGGAACGTTCCCAATAAATTATGGGTATGGTTCCCATAATGAGTATAGGATTAATGCCTATAATGATAATTTTATTATAGGATCCATTCCCATAATTGTTGGAAAGATTCCTATAAATTTCTCTCCGTGTATGACTAAAAACTGCTAACTTAAAAAAAATGAAAACTGATTGACCATGCAGCCTATCCTTAGAACTTCTCGCTATATTCGACCTCTAAAATTTGCCTGTAATAAAGTTTCGAGCTCACAAATACAACTTTATCTTTTCAAGGTTGAAAATCTAGGAATTGCATTGGTAAAACACTTTTTAAAAAATTATACGATACGATACGGATTCGATACGATTTTCAAACATACGAAGATAACTTATATCTGAAGAAACGATTCGACCGTAATTTTAAAAGTAATAAAAAAACTTCTTTACAAATAATTATGGTTATCAATATCTCTTTTACAATATGATCGATTTTGATGCGGTTTACGGTAATCGATGTTGTTTTTTAAAGTGAAAATCTGATTAATTTTTAAAAGTTACACAAAAAAATTTTTTTTTTAATTTTATGATTGTGATTTCTCAAAATCTATCGGGCTGAATTAGTTCTAATTCTTAGGAAATCTAAGTTAAGAAGGTTCGAGCGTAACTGATGAGTCAAAATAATTAAAAAATTTTTTTTTACTTTCAGTCTTCCCAATATTTATCAAAATTGTTTATTTTAATTTAAAATAATTTGAACAATTTAATAATTGATGATTTTTACTTAATTAATAAAATATACAACTTTCGTATTTATTACTTGTCGGATTAAATAAACAGATTTGGCAACAGCATATTTGATTATACCCATTACAGAGACGTGCATGAGTGTATGAGTTAAATATTTCTCACTCTGTAACTATATTTCTATTCTTTTCTTTTTTCTCAGCTGTTAACGCGACGTTGCCAAATCTTTATTCGAATCAATAGCTGACGATAAACGAGTCAAAAACTTAAAATTAAACTTTAAATATTTCAAAAATTATATCGGTAATGTAATGTTATTAAATTTTTTTTATATTTTACAATAATTCAAGTTTCTTGTGTATAGTTTTTATTCGTTAAAGTTGGGAGGCTAATATTGAAAAAAATAATTAAAGTCTCGACTAAAGTTTGTCCGCCATAAGAGCCCGTGTATAAGGAGATAAAAAATGTGATTTTTGAAATTTAATATCTAAGTAACTAAACGGTGAATATTTTGAAAATTTTGAGATTAGATAAATGACGTATTATTTATACGTATACTTAATTTCAAAGGTTAAAGTTGGAAATTATTTTATTCATTAGATTCGCTCGAACCTCCTCAAGAGAATTTATTTAAAATGCCGCAAACCGCATTCCGATCAGTCAAGTTGTGAGTACACACATACACACATCTATCATGACACCGTAGGAATAGTCAGGATAGCTTTCTATTTACCTCGAACCGTGGATATTTAATGAGAATTATTTCTAAATTTTACTGATTTTCATAACGGAAAGTTAAAAATTGATATGAAAGGTTTTTAAGTCAAAAAGTCGTGGCTTGCATTTTACAGTCGCCCAATTGTAAGCTCATAAAATTTAAAAAAAGCACACTGTGCAAGAAATTCACGACAATATACTCAAATAAGAGGATACAAAGTGAGAATAAGAATAAAAATATTTTTTTTAACATTGATTGACACTTTCAGTTTGGTATTTTACATGCTGCGAGAGCAGAGAGAAAAAATTGTGAATGAATGCGATAAGAAATAAAGAAAAAAAAAGAAATGCGAGAAGCTCAGTCGCAGGTTTTGAAACCCCTCAATATGAAACTCAATCACTACCTATAATGCCGCAATTTCTCGGAAGTAATTGCATTACCTCATACTTCTACTGTGTCAAAAATGATTCTCCAATATTTATTAGAAGAAAATAAATAAAAAATATTGAAAGATCGGATATCAAGAAGTTTAAACATTATAATTTTATATTTTTTGTTTTCTACGATACAAGACGGTAAAATGAACAGTTAACTGAAAAATTTTGGTTAAATACACAAATAAGACGTATAATTGAATTCGTGTCTAGGGTTCTTTTTTTTTTTCTTTAAGTAAAACTGAACAAGCAGTCCCCTAAAAAATAATCGATTTTCAGGATTTGTTCTCAATAAGAAAAAAATAAATATTTTATTTCAACCTATTTCAAATATTGATATGAAACAAAATAGTACTAATTGTTAATTATAATTTTATTTGTTATCAATGACTTGCTCGTATATTTTAATGAAACTATAAATTCTAGACGTGCTGATAAACATCACGATGTACTTAGTTTACCATTTTTATGAACTGTGATCTAATAATTCTTTTCTGATTATGACTGCAGCCATACATGTTCATGTTAGGAATCAATGCCGGAAGAAATTGTGCCTATTGCGGATTACTGTGCTTTAAATTGACAAAATAAAATTAACTTGAATCAAGAGAAAAGTTCTTGATCCCAGAAAATAATTTTGACGAGTTTCATTGTCTTGAATTAAGTAAAATTTACTTACACCAAGAAAAATTTCATAGTTATTAAGAATTATTCTACTAAAATCAAGAAGATGAGTTCTTCAAAATTATTTATTTGGTTCAAGTAAATTTTTTTTTCTATGTAGATCGATATTCTTGCTTTGTAAATCGAGATAACTAACGTAGCTAGTGACTAATTATCCGTAACTATAACTCCTATTCTTTCCCGCTTCACAGCATTATTTATATTTGTTAAAAATGCTAACCGTAAGATGGACGGTGTGGCTTAATGTATATAGAATAAGTGAAAGGAAATTTAGTATAGACCGGATAGCTCAAATGGTAGAGTAGCCGACATGTCTTCGGAAGGTTCTGGGTTCGAATCCCAGTCCGAGCTATCTAATAATTTTTTCTCGCATATTCTATAAACTCACATTAAGATGATCCTCTCCACAATCCTTTCTCAATCCTTTCCTACCAATTATCCTGTTACGTAAATGTTGGAACGCTTCACGTAATAATTATCCGTAACTCCTATTCTTTCCCGCTTCACAGCATTATTTATATTTGTTACTCATTGAGAGGATTACTCATTGTCATTTTATATTTGCACAATATGTAATTTCTTCTTTATAGTCATTGATAATTGATTAAATCTATATTCTGCGTAGCTGATAAAATTAAAAATTTTTACGTTTTTATTCAGTCAATGGTACTAAAAAAAAAATTATTGTATCTGATATTTTTTTGGCTATATTTACCGTCATTTTTGCACGCCTCATAGCGCGAAGCGCGTAAGGTTGTGCTTTATACTCGACTCGTTAAGGTCAAGCAATTTTGTGACCTTTAAATGTATCTATC